TTTATGACAGTATGTTTGCACTGAAGCACCGCAGCAATTTCCTAATGTTGTAAACCTGCTCAACATCTGGCAATAAAACCCTTTCTGATTCTGATTCTGATTCTGATTCTAACAATCAAGAAGGTAAAATGCTTAGCCAACCTAGGTACTCATGTCCCCCAAGGCCTAGTATATTGTTGTGAACATTGAAGACGATCAATAAAAAACTGTGGGTAATATATGTTTTTACTGATTTTCACATTTGGTGCTTGATTCGCACTGAAGGAATCAAAACTGTGAATGAACACATATGGAATTATGTAGTGAACAAAAAAATGTGAAATAACTCAAAACATGTTTATTTTGAGGGGATTTTTCAAAATAGCCACCCTTTGCTTTGATTACTCTTTGCATTCTCTTGATGAGCTTCATGAAATGGTTTTCCAACAGTCCTGGAGGAGTTCCCAGAAATGCTGAGCACTTGTTGGCCCTTTTGCCTTCATTCTACGGTCCATCTTATTCAACACCATCTCGATTGTGTTTAGGTCAGGTGACTGTGGAGGACAGGCCATTTGGCACTCCATCACTCTCCTTCTTGGTCAAATAGCCCTTACACAGGCTGGAGGTTGTTTGAAGTCATTGTCCTGTTGAAAAATAAATGATGGTCCAACTAAATGCAAACCAGATGGGATGGCATGTCGCTGCAGGATGCTGTGGTAGCCATGCTGGATAAGCGTGCCTTCAATTTTGAATAAATCCCCAACAATGTCACCAACAAAACACCACCACACCATCACACCTCCACTACGGTGGCCCCTAGAGACAAAGCACGTACAAACTCCAAAACACATGCAAAATCCAAAACACGTACAAAGGTCAGCATCAAACACTGTTCTCATTTTTTTTGCCTGTCAGACTTCAGCTTATGCCCTCAATACCCACTAATAGTCCACATTCAATCCCTGTTCCTTATTTTGAAATTATGACCCATATCCACATGTTTGTAGCATGTGAATATGGGTCATATTTGTGTATCGTGTAAGTTATTGGCATCCCACTTCCTTTCTCATCTTAACCATCAAAACTAAATTTCATATCCTAATGCTGACCTACTTCTACCTAAGTTCACCACCAAAGCAATTCTGAATTCTCCAACAGTTGTTTTAAGGTTTGTCTGACAGCAAGAAGCTGCCAAAATGTCCTAAAATCTTCAAAATGACCTCAAGGTCTTAAGCTCAAACTGGTGCACAACAGAAAGCACTAAGTATTATGTTCATTACCTTAGAGAATTCCTAGCATAACATCCATCATGCACCAATAGTGAAACAATCAGAGACTGTGGAAATACATTTGTTTCCACCGTATGAGTAATAACACACACACACACACACACACACACACACACACACACACACACACACACACACACACACACACACACACACAC